CAAGCAGGGTTAGTCTAAAATGTAGGCAAAGACTTAAATACAACTAATGAGTTTAGAATTTAATGACAAATGAAGCTGGGCGCAGTGGCTCACGCCTGTAATCCCAGCACTTTGGGAGGCCAAGGTGGGTGGATCATGAGGTCAAGTTATCTAGACCATCCTGGCCAACATGGTGAAACCCCGTCTCTACTAAAAATACAAAAATTAGCTGTGGTGGTGCACACCTGTAGTTCTCGCTACTCAGGAGGCTGAGGCAGGAGGATTGCTTGAACCCTGGGGGCAGAGGTTGCAGTGAGCCGAGATCGTGCCACTGCGCTCCAGCCTGGCAACAGAGCAAGACTCCGTCTCAAAAAACAAATAAAACAAACAAACAAAAATAATTTAATGACATATGTATACGTTTTGAAACATAATTTCTTTCTTAGCAGTCCTCATTTTTTTTTTTTCAAATTTTCTTTTGTTACCAGTTCTCATTTTTGTTGAAAAATCATGATAGGACTGAGTTGTTTGCAAAATAGACTTTAGTCTTATAGTTGGCCTAATTAGTTGCATACAGTGCAGCAAGAATAACTATTTCTACATAGGCCTTTTACATTGGCTTTGATGCAACTCTGTTTCACAAGGACTCTTAGAGAAGACCTTTTAAAGCCCAGTCCAGCCAAGGGTTTTTATCCTCAAATACCTGTGAGTTGGGTGATCCTCTTCTCTTAAGGTCCCAAGATAAACTTGGAACTCCTGGGCCAGTTAGAAAGTGACATTCTTGGCCGGGCGCGGTGGCTCACGCCTGTAATCCCAGCACTTTGGGAGGCTGAGGCGGGCGGATCACAAGGTCAGGAGATTGAGACCATCCCTGGCTGACATGGTGAAACCCCGTCTCTACCAAAAATACAAAAAAAAATTAGCCGGGTGTGGTGCCACATGCCTGTAGTCCCAGCTACTCAGGAGGCTGAGGCAGGAGAATAGCTTGAACCTGGGAGATGGAGGTTGCAGTGAGCCAAGATCATGTCACTGCACTCCAGTCTGGGCAACAGAGCGAGACTCTGTCTCAAAAAAAAAAAAAAAAAAAAAAGTGGCATTCTTTACTGACCACAGGTCAGGAATCCTGCACAGGGACTGTGTAGGCAAGGGTATGAAACCAGTTTTTTCCCCAGGGGGATTTTTTTGGCTCTGCAACTCGAGCTTGACTGCTTAAAGGGAAGCATACCCTTGCATTCAAAGCCTTGGTAAAACAACCAGTTTCTCCAATTGCATCCTGTTGCAAAAGAAAATGGATTCTTACTGCACTGATGCAAACAACTATATTACCACAAGTTAAAAATACTCACAGAGGTTGGGTGCAGTGGCTCACGCCTGTAATTCCAGCACTTTGGGAGGCCGAGGTGAGCGGATCACCTGAGGTCAAGGGTTCGAGACCAGCCTGGCCAACATGGTGAAACCCCGTCTCTACTAAAAATATAAAAATTAGCCAGGCGTGGTGGCAGGCGCCTGTAATCCCAGCTACTCAGGAGGCTGAGGCAGGAGAATCGCTTGAACCCGGGAGGCAGAGGTTATTACAGTGAGCCGAGATCATGACATTGCACTTGTGCCTGGGGGACAAGAATGAGACTTCATCTCAAAAAACAAACAAAAAAGAATACTCACAGATAGTTTCCAAATTCCAGAGGAACAAGGCAGAGAGAAACAAAAAACATGCTCTAGATTTTGGTCACAAGAGTATACCTTATTCAATTTATGAAAGGCCATAAATAGTTCAAAATAAGTTTCCTTGACTCCGAAAAACAAAACAAGGATCAGCAATATTCCAAGCAAAAGTTAAAAAGTTTGCTTCAGTTTCTTGAGTACATTCATTGAACTCTTGTTTTACTTGATATTTATGAACATTTTAGCTCTTCATGAATCTTGTATGTTTTTCCTTTATTCCAATGTCATAATCTCCAAAGTTATCAGAAACCTGTATTTGAGAGTACCTGTCAAAGTTCTATAGCTTATTATAAACCATGTTTTGAAAAGGATTAAAACAAAACAACAATTATCTGTGAATAACAAAATGTTCAGGGTAGTTACACTTAGAAGCACAATTGACAAAGAAGTTTGATTATCTCCGTGGTTTACAAAACTTAATTATGATTGAGAGCATATACTCAGACATTAGAATTTTAGAAATTCCCTACAATTTCGGAATATGTATTATTCACCAAAATATAACCTAAAGAAGATTGAACATAGTCCCATGTACCTAAATGTTTCAAATAATCCTGTTTACCTGTCTTTTCTGGACACTGCAGGGGCCCTTCTGAAGTATTTGAAAAGCCAGGTGTCAGGAAAGACAATTGTGAAACTGAAGTTTGATTTTGGTCTCAGACTCCTGACCTCAGGTGATTCACGCCTGCCTCAGCCTCCCAAACTGCTGGGATTACAGGCGTGAGCCACTGGGCCTGGCCTTATTTTTATTTATTTATTATTTATTTTTGAGACAGAGTCTCACTCTGTCACCCAGGCTGGAGTGCAGAGGTGCAATCTCAGCTCACTGCAACCTCCACCTCCTGGGTTCAAGTGATTCTCCTCCGCAGCCTCCTGAGTAGCTGGGACTACAGGCCCCTGCCACCACATCCAGCTAATTTTTGAATTTTTAGTACAGATGGGTTTTTACCATGTTGGCTTGGATGGTCTCATCTCCTGACCTTGTGATCCACCCACCTTGGCCTCCCAAAGTGTTGGGATTACAGGCGTGAGCCATTGCACCCAGCTATTTATTTTTTTTGAGATGGAGTCTCACTGTCACCCAGGCTGGAGTGTAGTAGTACAGTCTCAGCTCACTGCAGCCTCCAACTCCTGGGGTCAAGGGGTTCTCTTGCCTCAGCCTCCCCAGTAGCTGGGATTACAGGCAGCTGCCACCACTCCCGGCTAATTTTTGTATTTTTAGTACAGATGGGGTTTCACTGTGTTGGCTAATCTGGTCTTGAACTCCTGACCTTAAGTGATCCACCTGCCTTGGCCTTCCAAAGTGCTGGGATTACAGGCGACTGCCACCACGCCCAGCCTAAAATATATTTCAAAATATATTTATCTGAGTTCCTCAAAGGTAGAGTCCATGTCTTTTGTCCCCAGAACCTAGTACAAAGTCTTGTGTCTCATAGTTACTCAGTGAATGTTAATTTAATGGATGAATCGGTCACACTAGCAATTGCAAAGTTTTTCTCAGGCCCTAACCTTGGCTGCAAGGAGTTTGTAGAGATCTCCCCTC